AATAAAGATAGATAGAATAAATGCTCAGTAAGTCGATACAAGTTGAAATCCCGATGTCTGCCTGTCCGTCCGTCTTTCTGTGCAAGCTGTAATTTATGTAAAAATTAAGATGTAGGAATATTAATATGCAAAAAAGAGTGAASGAGATGGTCGTAATCGGWCSACTGCTACGCCCACAAAACGAAAACTTTTAAAAAGCTATAACGGTGGGTATATAAGACGTAGGACTGTAATTTGTACAGGGACTTGCGTAGCAATATGTGCCTGTTTGCTGGAAAGTTTGTGACTGCGTTCTATAATAATTGACTTTTTACCGAAAATGTCTGCCAATGTATGAGAAATACACGGAAAGAATCTTCCTCTATAATGGAATGTCTGTGTGTAGAAAATGTGTTAATCCGGTAAATATTTTCCTTAGCCTCTTAATAAATTCCGAACTTCCGCATTGAGTTATCTCAATGAAAACAATATGCGTGTTRTAATCAAAATGGAGTATCTATGTATATAAAATGAATAAAATTGGGCAAAAACTTGGCATAGCCCTCATAYAGGGTTTGTTCGGAAAGTGGTCGGTCTGATGTCTTCATCAGGGACCTTTTCTCGGCCCTCCAAAAAGGCCGAGTGCCACCGAAACACACCWCTTCTTGCTAAAACAACATCTRGCTAAGCCTGCTATATCATATCAAATRTCTCTGTCGCAACTTTACCAAGTTTCATCCAGAATTTAATCGCATATTTCTGCTGTAATGAACACTGAATTTTCGGCTTGCACTACTCACGGAAACACGTCCTGACTCTCCAGGTGCTCAGAGACAACTGATCAGTCGCTTGTTCCTTAACTAGGAACGACATCGACCGAATCCAGTGCGCGCTCTGAAGTACCGTCGTGGCGGAAGAATATCCGTTCTACTACTTTCYGGATATAACTAATATCAGGAGTTTCGAACATCCTCCATGTGGTTTGTGATTGTATATGAGGTTCCTTGATGAAACCCTGGGAACATTTCTTTAGTATGTGGCATTTTAATTATTTGTCTGCCTCCATTATTCCCTATAAAATGATTTCCGTTATTTTGACTTTATTTTCACCATTCAGGTTGCATCTTTTAAATAAACAAGATATCAAAAAATTGTGTGGTTCAAAGGTGAATTAGAGTGGAAGTTCTGCAGACCGTGGCTTTAGCCTCACATCTCACATTATATTGAATTTCGTGGGTGGACCATTCCCCATTAAGTCATTATATTCAATTTACTCTCTTAGTTCAAATTAATGACACATATTACAAGTATCTCATTTAAAGCTCATAATTTCGGCTGACAGGAACTAACTAACTAAAGTTAGTAATTAAAGTAATAATAGCCTAAAATTGAATATTTTATCACGATTTAATCGAACAATGGATGTTTAATTGGGTTGCAATAGGTCTTAATATGAGATTCGCCAGCAGCTGAAGGAATTTGCTGGGCTTTGTTTCTTGCAACGTGCAAGCGAATCATAATGCTTACAGCAGATAGGTCAGCAGAGGTTGCAAAGGGCACTGGAGAAAATGAATGTGGCAGCAACGGTGCGCCGATGGATAGAGGCCCAAACCCCTATTATGAAGCCTGGTCGTGGATGACCTACATTACTTGCTAATTAACAATGGGATTTTCTGTTTTATTTTTATAACTACAAAAGGGAATAGGTCTGGCAAAGGTAAGGTGCAGTGAAGTTGGATTGAACTGCGTTCACGAGACGAAGGTCTCTGCCAGGAAACACACAATGCTTCAAATGACAGCGGATGCGTTTGGCAGAGGGCATGTAATCTACATTCGTGCAAWTGAAGGTCTTAAGTGATGAGACATCTTTGGCTCTTTTCCAAAGAGACAGAATTGAAAAAAGGATAAACTGCACTTTGGATGTTAAAGTCACCTTGGCAGCGAGGATGAATGAAAAAATTCCACGCTCGACCTAATGCTAAGGAATAGCACAATAAAGTGGTCACCGACTGGTCGAAAACGTTGGAGGAAATTGGAGCAGTAGTCGGGAGATTTTCGGAGCATATTCTAAGCTGAAGTTTATAAGTGAGCGTGTAGAGATAAACTTCCAATACTAAGACTATTAAATGTTTGAATAAATCCCACTAAGGAGTGTYCACTAACTGACAATAGATTTAGAAGTTAATATTCAAAAATCTCTAAGAGGTGAAAATTGCATAAAATCGTCAATCATTATAACCGGCATGCCACCAGCAAAGAACTCATTAGATAAATGAGACACTTGTTGATTTGGCTGATGTTCATACAGAAAATAATGTCTCAACCGGTACTAAATGCATTCTTTAGTTGAATCTGCTCTAGTTTGACAACACGAAATCGAGAAGTGTTTACCAGATGTACCGGTATGAAATGATCGTTAAGACACAAATGGTTGCTGGGAAATATTTGTCGCGAACGGGCCCAAATTTTTTATCTGTTTTGTTGAGATGACATCTGTCAAACATATTCAATAAGATTACAGTAAWTGAACAAACAACATTGAAAATGTCAAATGGTTTCAACGTTTCTGAGATTATGATGTTGATATCATTTCCCAYGAGCATGGAACAACCAAAAAAGTTTAAAAACGCCAAACTGCAAGCAATATTGGATGAAGATGGCACTTCTACTCAAAAGTAAATGACAGCCGTGTTAAATATAGCACAACAAAAAATTTCAAACCTTTTGAGAGCTATGGGAAATATTTAAAAGTGTGAAAAATGGGTGCCACATGAATTGAAGTAAAGACAAACCGAAAAACATATGTRAAATTTTGCTTGAAAGATACGCTGGGAGCTGCTACCCCACAAGCCGTATTCACCAAACTTAGGCCCTTCCGATCATCATTTGCTTTCRTGGATGGACACGCATTGGCCGAGCAGCACTGCGATTCTTACATTACTTTTGGCATGGTATTTACAAATTAGCAGAAATGTGGTATGCTATGCCAGTTTTGGAAAGGTGGAACTATATGGAGCAATATATTGCTTCTTAAGCAGACACGAGTATTTCTGTAAATTATTTAAATATGTGATCTATATTTAGTTATAAGTATCATCGATGTCGAAATTTTCGTAAATTTCAAACAAAGGCTTCAGTATATAGACTTTGCGCAGTGATTCGGTTTCAACCTCGAAACCGTCGGCCAATTGCTATAGGACATTACCATCATTTACAGTATTATGCAAAATTATAGCGACCCTTCTTTCTCATTCAGCTGGCAATTTAAGGTCACTTTGTGGAAAAAACACATATGGTTTTTTTAATTTTCTGTGACAAAAAAAAARAAAAAACCTTGATTCCGTAAATTAGTGACAACATTGCTGTATTAAATAATAGAACAATGGAAAAGTATGCAACGGTAGGAGTTAGGTTAGTTAGGTTAGGATTCAAAGAAAATGTGTTAAAATTTTTAAATACATATGTAAAAATAAAAAATAATTTAAATATTAACAAAAATTCATTGGTTAGCATTATTCAAAGGCACTTCCCCTTAGCATATTTGACCCCACATTACAGAAAGTAAGCGTATCAAATGCATGATGTGTTTACTCCTTTTTATATAACATTGTGTTATTGGAAAATATTTACAGTACACACYCATTTACATATGTATAATCTTATATACTCTTTTCATTATATATACCAAAAATTATCATGGTTTGACAGCTGAAGTCGTTTAAAATTCCGTTTAAGCTATTGAGTTTAACATGTTAAACCAACAAAAACCATCATCAAATGATTGTATAAAGCAATGATACAATTACACCAATTACATAAATGAAAATCAATCAATTGCATGCGAATGCAGACACTGCATATAATTAAATAAATGTGTAACAACGCCTCATTTGTGCAMTTTATTTATGACTGTTGAATAGGTATATACAAACATATACATATATTAGTAGCGGATTCAAAGGCGGCAAATGGGGAAATTATCCATATATCGTGGCTTGATAGAGAACTTGAAATATATACATTCAGCTCCAAATGTGATATGTTCTCTTCGGTTTATTCTCCAAGTTTTCCAACATAGAAAAGTTAGTAACTGGAAATATAAGGAACAGCGGGAAAAGCAACGATCTCATCGCAACCATGTGAAATTTTTAACTTAAATATAAGTATGTAAGTAAATGAGAGAATTAGAGAGTGCTTAGAATGAATAAAAACGGGTGAAAACTCGCCCAAGACCCCACATAACTAACAATCCTTATGCACCTGAAGGTATTTCTTTGGCTTTAATCTTTGCAAGTTGCAAGAATATGAAATGTTCGGTTATACGAGAACTTAGCTGTTCCTTACTTGTTCTTGTTGACGGCCTTAACAGTATTACGATAACTGCAAAGTGGACACCTACTGCGCTCTAAAATGCATTGAAAGCAATTATGGCACATACATATATTTATTTTATCCCCTAGATAAAAGTGCTGATCGACACTTTTTCTTTGATCTCACAGTGGCTTCTCATCATTTTCTAACGCAATGCTGAAGAGTATTTTTAAGTAAATATTTGAATAAGGATTTGAAACCTCAGCATAAAGTAAACAAAGAGCATATTTATAAATTGGAAGTAAAGATCAGTTTTACGTAAAGTTCAAAATAATTTAGTGCTAGTTTTAATTCTGTAACCGAACTTGTTTTTGCGCTTAGCAGAAAAATGTTTCGCTTTGTTTTCATTATGTCGCTGTATTATACTTTGAGTTTTCAAATAAGATTTTCCTTCAGTCAAAATAAGAATTCGAATAAGATTTGCGATGACAATTGTGATGTGCAAATAGATGTCGTTGCAAAATTCATAAAAATTCACAACTTCCCATCGAACATCGATAAGCTGTTAGCCCCGAATCGGTGCAAATGAATAACGTGTTATGGAAAAGTACTCATAAATGTTTATTTCAGAGCATCCAMATGGTCTAGTTGTATGGAGGCAGCAGCAAAGAGCTGGAGGAGTGGTATTTACAAAATTCAGTTAGAAAAGATAAATATCACCGACTTGGAGGTATTTTGCGAAGAGGACGTTGATTTCGGGGGATGGATAGTCATTCAACGGCGCCRAAGTGACTCGGTAGATTTTTATAGAACTTGGGATGACTATAAAGAGGGATTTGGTGACTTAAGGAGAAACTATTGGATAGGTTTGGAGAAACTCACTAATAGTTGTGAGCAGGAGTTGTATATTCAAATGAAAACACGTCAAGGGGTTAAGTACTACGCAAAATATTCAGAGTTTCTTATTGGTGACGAGTCAGAGAGCTACACTTTAAAGAAATTGGGTATTTATAACGGGAACGCTGGTGATTCCCTACAGTATCATTCGGGAAGGAAGTTTTCAAYTTATGATCGTGAYAATGATGATTTTGCTGATAATTGTGCAAAGAAATTTAAAGGTGGCTGGTGGTTTGGCAAATGCTACGCATGGTAAGCACATTTTACTTGTCAACGTTTGTGATGAATATCTTWATTCCTTAGTMATTTAAACGGAGTCTACGGAGATGATAASGCGGGTGTAAGCTGGCTTATGATAAAGAGAGATGAGTCTCTACCYTTTGTGCAAATGATGATACGTCCAACTCAAAATTGTTGGAGRCGWTTAATGTTGAGCAATTTACATCGAGCAATTAATTAACCACTAATCTTCTTACCTACTGAATTTTCGAAATTAWTTAACTAACAAACTTAAATGCAAATATATAAACATATTTTCGATTTCCTTTTTTTATTATAATTTATAATACCTTTTAATAGTGTAAGTATGTAGCCGAATGAGGTTGGGCGGGGTACGACGTTCTGTAGTTAATCACAATCAGCATATGCTTATATGAGAAATATTAATGAGTAAGTACCATATTTGACTCAAACGGTGAATCACTTCAGATTAGAAAACGAATAAATATAAAATTTGTTCTTTTAATTTTTATACATATTTTAAAATTATTCACAACCAATATTTTCCATATTTCTTGCCATTTATAATGTAAATACAATGTTTTCGCTTTTTTCTTAATATTATATTTTTAATTACTGATTAATGTTGTAGTCTTGAATGCGAAAACCCGTTTAAAAATGATACACTTAAATTGACATTTTGATTTAAATTGAAATCAAACAATCGAAGAATTGAAATTTATGTAGATAAATATGAGGTACCACATATGTCCCCATGTCGCAAATACATATGTGGAGCAGACACATCCGAATATTGGAGCTCCATTTTTATATATCTACAAGACAAGTGCGTTCAACGGCGTAAGGCCATTTTCTCCCATTTTAAGTTTGAGGTTAAAAATATTTGTGCTTCAAGCCTATATTTGCATTTAATAATAATTATCAATTTTTCAGAACTTAACTTAAGTCAGTTCGAATGAAATGATAGATTATAYCAAATTAGTTATACGGAAACGAATATAATTAAAACGAGGTGGTCCGTCCTCATAAATTCTGCACACAAAATATAATAAAAAAACAACTTMTTCGCCTATAATGGCAAAATGGTGTGCTATTTCGGAACGCATGCAAAGCCAAAAGTGAAGACATTATGAAACATTTGCGTACGATTTATTTATTTTAAGGAACCTTCCTGCGTAAGTTTCTCTATATGACTTTTCTAAAAATCAACGAGGAATGCATGCTAGAACTGCGAAATACTGAATTACAACACATTAAAAAATACTATTTCGAATTTTTTTCTATTTCTGCTAACACTCGGCAAACTCTTTAACAGCACGTGTTTCCCATATACGGAAACTTCCACAAATAATGATAAAAAATTCTTTCATCAAATACGGCAAATTCTGTTAATTCTATTTACTTGCTTACTTATGCACTGAATGTAAGTGCTTATAGTGTCTATCCAGTTACTTAACATTGGATTAAAAAATTTGATTTGCTGCCGAATTGATTGCTTTGTGGCAAATATTTGTCTAAATATTAAAAGTGCAATTTAAATGCATGATGTTTATTTACCACAAACTCCATATTCAACGGAAAAATAACCGAAAACGATTTAATGCACAAATCACTTCAGTTACTATTCGAATTTGCTAAGTGTGTATGGTAATTTGAAATTTGTGCATCAGTGCGTTAAATAAGCCAACACAACACATCAACACACAACATATGTACAAACACGTCCGCATATATATATATGCGTGAGCTTAGAGATTTGTGGTCCTAATTGAATTTTTAAAACCAAACATTTGTTCATTAGGCGCTTGAATTTATWTTTATACCCTGAACAGGGTATATTAAGATTGCCGCGATGTTTGTAATACCTAAAAGGAAACCCTGGTACTCCACAAAGTCTATATGCAAACGAACGGTGGGAYGAGCTGGGTCGATTTAACTATGTCCGTACCTGAAATTTWGCACACATYCTTTAACTCCAAGAAATAGCTCGGTGAAATCCCCGGATGAMGTTTTTTAGATCGAACTACTAAGCATATACAAAGTGAACAAGCAAAAACAAATTCTGGTATGGAATCATTTATATTTGTGAAGGGTATGATGGCTATAGTGCGGCCGAAGTTAAAATTGTTTCTTGTTATTATTGGTATGCGAGAAAATTGCAGTAATTTAGTGGAGAAATGTTTTGTTTACCAATTATTAATCACTAGTAGTGAAATTGAGCGCACTTTCTATGCTTAACGCATGTTTGACATATGTATWACAGGAAAGGTGGACTCTCAGTTCGGGTGTAACAGAATATTTTATACTCTTGTAACTTGGAAGAGTCAAATGTGATTAAATATTGTTAATAAATATTGTTAAGAATTGGCAGAAATTTATAATCGCATAACTTTGCCAAGTTATCTAGCATATTTTAAGGAAAATTCGGTATAAGCTTAACCAAAGTCACGAATCCAGTTAAATAAAGTAATGTGTGACTAGAAGAAGTCTTAAATCGATGATGAAAATTTAATAAAACACATTATGGTCAAGGARAAACACCTTTTTAATTGATTAAAACATCTAAGCGATTGGCAGCTAAATTAGGTAAAAATCCAGCGAGACGTCTTAGGTTATTATATTAATCTTAAATGCTCTACTTACTCCTTCGATATCGTCTTTGGTGTTTAACCTATATATAGCTAACGGAATTTAAAATTCTGCTTACCGAAATGAGCATGGTTTTTTTACGATTTCCCTTATTTTCACACCGCCACAATGTCCATACAATTTTGTGCAGAACATAAAATTGAAATTCATCTAACATTTGTTGAAATATGGGATTTCATCTAAAAGTGGGTGGTGCCATGCCCATTGTTAGATTTTTTGGCGTAGAAACCGCTTTCGCGATTATAATCAAGTTTCTAACAGCCGTTCTTACTTTTCTCTGTTTGGCACCAATTGGAAATTATAAGCGTAGCCAGGTCCTTCTTCACCAGGTCTTTTCAACGGATTGGAGGTCTTCCTCTTACTCCGCTTCCCCCGATGACATAAACAAGACAGTGTAGCCGCGTGAGTGCGTTGAATGTTTGTTTGATGACAGGCGATATTATATTTCGTCTTGCCCTAGTTCACAAACAGACCCATTTGCTTTGCTTCCTTATCTAGTCTGGAGAAAGCAGAACTAACGGCGTGATTTTGAGGGCAATGATCCAGGCCTAAAGACACATTGATTTGTTCCAAACAGTTTTTTGACGGTAAGCTTTAATCTTTCACAAAATTCGCTGGGTATAATTTTGAGAAGGCTTATCCCACGATAGTTCTGCAGATTATGTGGCCTTTTTGTGGATTGGGCAGAACATACTTAGATTTCAATCGTTGGGCATGCTTTCGTCCGACCATATTCGACAAAGCAACTGTTGCAAACTCCTTATCAGTTCTTCGCCGCCGTGTTTGAATCGCTCGGCCGGCAATCCATCAGCCCCCGCTGCTTTGTTGTTCTTCAGGCGGTTATTGCTTTTCGAACTCCTTCCTGGTCGGGCATTGGAACGTCTGCTCTATCGTCATCGATTGGGGAATCGAGTTCGTTCACGGCCTGGCGTTCACTGCCATTCAGCAGGCTGGAGAAGTGTTCCCTCCATAATTTAAGTATGCTCTGGGCATCGGTGACTAGATCACATTTGGGGGTTCTAAAAGAGTATGTTCCGGTCTTGAAACCTTCTGTAAGCCGCCGCATTTTTTCGTAGAATTTTCGAGCATTACCCCTGTCGGCCAGCTTATCAAGCTCTTCGTACTCACGCATTTCGGCCTCTTTCTTTTTCTGTCTGCAAATGCGTCTCGCTTCCCTCTTCAACTCTYGGTATCTATCCCATCCCRCACGTGTTGTGGTCGATCGTAACGTTGCGAGGTAGGCAGCCTGTTTTCTCTCCTCTGCGACACGGCACTCCTCGTCGTACCTGCTGTTCTTTTGTACTTTCCGAAAACCAATGGTTTCGGTTGCAGCTGTACGTAATGAGTTTGAAACGCTGTCCCACAGTTCCCTTATACCGAGTTGTTGAAGAGTGCTCTCAGAGAGCAGGAGTGCAAGCCGAGTAGAAATTTGTTCGGCTGCCTGTTGTGATTGCAGCTTCTCGACGTCGAACCTTCTTTGTGTTTGATGGCGTGCGTTTTTTGCTGCACAGAGGCATGTGCGAATCTTGGCTGCAACGAGATAGTGGTCCGCGTCGATGTTAGGACCTCGGAGCGCACGCACATCTAAAAGACTGGAGACGTGTCTTCCGTCTATCACAACATGATCGATCTGGTTGGTGGTTTTTCGATCCGGTAGGTAGGTAAGTAGCTTGATGTATCTTCTTATGCTTCTTCTTATGCTGGACTCTAGTACTACAGATAACCAAATTTGGGCCCCAGCCTCAACCCATTTGCGGATGTTTCCTCGTGGAGGCTGAATTTACCGACCGTAGTGCCAAAAATACCTTCTTTGCCCACCCTTGCGTTAAATTCGCCAAGCATGATTTTGACATCGTGGCGGGGCAGATCTCATAAGTGATTTCCAACCACTCATAAAAGGCATCTTTGGTCACATCGTCCTTCTCTTCCTTCGRGGTGTGGACGCAAAKCAGCGATATGTTAAAGAACCTCGCTTTGATGCGGATTGTGGCTAGACATTCATTCACCGGAGTGAATGATAGTACTCGGCAACGGAGTCTTTCTCCCACCACGAATCCCACRCCAAACTTGCGTTCCTTTATATGGCCACTGTGGTAAATGCCACAAATACCTGCTCGTCTCTGTCYTTGTCCCGTCCATCGCATTTCTTGGATGGCGRTGATGTCCCCTTTACGAGGACATCAATCAGCTGGGTAGCGGCACCTTTCCAATAAAGGGACCGGACATTCCAGGTGCATGCCCTCACTTCGTAGTCCTTATTTCGTTTGCCATGGTCGTCATCAAACTAGGGTCTCTTATTCGAGGYTGTTGTTGCGTTTCCATTGGGGTGGTTTTTTTACGTGGCGGATCCCAAACCCAGCGCACAACCCTATGCAGGAAATGTTTCGCCTTCTCACTTTAGCTCGCCTTCAAACGGATGTTCTTAGGCTACCCAGAGGATACCTGGTCTAATAGCGGAGGTCTTGAKSTGCTTGAGCCAYATGTAAAAGTATCGTTTCTGGACGCTSCCAAGTGARTGGTGATCAGAAAACTATCCTCACTTGCGTGAACTAGTTCTTCCAAAATCCTTCA